GAGAGGAGTCAGTAAATCTCTTCAAAAAGAGGCCCAGATTAAGAGACTGCACAGTCCCAAATTGTATGGGGGAATGACGAAGTAGTTTAGACCCTAAAATCCTAATAGTTCACACCCTAAAATCTGCGAAGTAGTTCACACCCTAAAATCTCCCAGAATATATCTCTAATAGGTTAAAAGGTTATAATATTGGTTTTGAAAGCCTCCATCCATTTGGGTTGGATTCAACTAGATCTCACTGTGGGCTTGGGCCTGACACTTTTTTAGTTTTATGCTGAACTTTAACAAATAACTGAGGCTACGGGGGCTTCGGCAGGGTGTTTTGAAATACCAAAACCATAAATGCAACCTTGTTGATCAAAGTTCTGCCTTTTTAAGCATGTATTGCATGGCTCCAAACAAGTCCTTTCTGATGAATATCCAAGTTCTAGAACCTTTTGTGAAGCAGTAACAGAATCACATTTATTATAATATTTGCTATCATAAAAGGGGGGTTTTCTCTCTTCCTCTACGAGTATGGTTTAGGACTCTCTTTGCATAATTACAGATAGCACAAATAATTACAGATGGCACTATGGTTGCCTTTTTCCCCCCAAGTATGCATTCAATAACAATACCACTTAGCAATAGCACTTAGACTTATATACTGCTTCACAGTGCTTTACAGCCCACTCTAAATGGTTTTTACAGAGGCAGCATATTGCCTCCAATAATCTGGGTCCTCATTTTACCCACCTCAGAAGGATGGAAGGCTGAGTCAACCTTGAGCCTGGTGTGATTTGAACTGCCAATTTGCAGGCAGCCGGTAGTCAGCAGAAGTAGCCTATATTAGCTATACTAGAAGGGTAAGGGTTTTTCAGACAGGTTTAAATCCCAGCCACATCTTTGGTCCAATACACAACTAAGTGACAATATTAATCAACCTAGGCTGATTTCCAAAGAGTAAATAGGATTGACCCCAGTTAGCACTGGGAGACCACTAGGAAATCCTGGGGCTAGAAACGATATTCACATTGTTGGCAAGAATTTCATTGGATATAGAGCTCTATTTAAAGGAGACTTTGCCTTTAATGCTCAGTCTGTTTTTGATGATGGTATTGCCTTATTATTCCTAAACTGAAATGGAATGGATAGAAGATCAGGAAAAGTGAGTCCCAGTGAAACAACAACCACAGGGGTGTCAAACTTGTGGCCCGGGGGCTGGATGCATCATGCGCTGGCCATGCCCACCCCTGGTTTAACAAAGTGGGAGAAAGTCACAACACGTCACATGATGACGTGACAACACCCCTGAACAACCAGGAATCAGAATGGGGCTCCCAAACAATATTGCGCTATGATACGAGGAGTGGGATTTTGTTATACTGACTTCCAATGGTAGCTGGGATATGCTGAATTATGATTTCATCCCCTGTAACATTGTATAACCAAGAAACAATGGGTTATGTATGTATCTCCATATCAATTGTATTATTTTATATTATAGTTGTAATTATTCTGAAGCAAGAACACTTCTGCTCAGAAGAACTTCTAAGCTCCTCATATGCTAGAGTTGCCTTGTTCTCTGGAGCAGGTTTCCAGAATGCCAGGGACATAGAATTTAACCTATGAATGTATCACTTCTAATTCTGGACAGAGAAAGACAGTTACAGTTGTGCTCATAAGTTTACATACCCTGGCAGAATTTATGATTTCTTGGCCATTTTTCAGAGAATATGAATGATAACACAAACACTTTGCTTTCACTCATGGTTAGTGGTTGGCTGAAGCCATTTATTATCAATCAACTGTGTTTACTCTTTTTAAATAATGACAACAGAAACTACCCAAATGACCCTGATCAAAAGTTTACATACCCCAGTTCTTAATATGGTGTATTGCCCCCTTTAACATCAATGACAGCTTGAAGTCTTTTGTGATATGTATGGATGAGGCTCTTTATCTTCTCAGATGGTAAAGCTGCTCATTCTTCCTGGCAAACAGCCTCCAGTTCCTGTAAATTCTTGGGCTGTCTTGCATGAACTGCACATTTGCGTGTCAGAGTGGCTCAATGATATTGAGGTCAGGAGACTGAGATGGCCATTCCAGAACTTCACTTTATTCTGCTGTAGCCAATGACAGGTCTACTTGGCCTTGTGTTTAGGATCATTGTCATGTTGGAATGTCCAAGTACATCCTATGCGCAGCTTCCGGGCTGATGCATACAAATTTTCCTCCAGTATCTTTTGATAACATACTGCATTCATCTTGCCATTAATTCTGACCAAATTTCTTGTGCCTTTGTAGCTCACACATCCCAAAATATTAGCGATACACCTCCGTGTTTCACAGTAGGAATGGTGTACTTTTCATCATAATCCTTGTTGAATCCTCTTCAAACATAATGTTTATGGTTGTGGCCAAAAAGCTCAATTTTGATCTCATCACTCCAAAAAATAACTTTTTTATGCCAAAAAGTTTGAGGCTTGTCTCTGTGCTGTTTGGGATATTGTAAGTGGGATACTTTGTGGCATTTGCATAGTAATGTCTTTCTTCTGGTGACTCGACCATGCAGCCCATCTTTCTTCCAGTGCCTCCTTATTGTACATCTTGAAACAGCCACACCACGTTTTCAGAGAGTCCTCTATTTCATCTGAAGTTATTTATGGGTTTTTCTTTGCATCCCAAACAATTTTCCTGGCAGTTGTGGCTGAAATTTTAGTTGGTCTACCTGATCGTGGTTTGGTTTCAACAGAACCCCTCATTTTCTACTTCTTGATTAGTGTTTGAACACTGCTGATTGGCATTCTCAATTCCTTGGATATCTTTTTATTTCCCTTTCCTGTTTTATGCAGTTCAATTACCTTTTCCTGCTGATTCTTTGACAATTCCTTTGCTTTCCTCATGACTCAGAATCCAGAAACGTCAGTGCAACACTGGATGAAAGATGCAAGGGTCTGTCAGGAGTCCAGGAACTCATTGACCTTTTATACACACACTAATTACAAGCAAATAGATCACAGGTGAGGATGGTTACCTTTAATAGCCATTCAAGCCCCTTTGTGCCAACTTGTGTGCATGTTATTAGGCCAAAATCACCATGGTATGTAAACTTTTGATCAGGGTCATTTGGGTAGTTTCTGTTGTCATTATGATTTAAAAAGAGTAAACACAGTTGATTGATAATAAATGGCTTCAGCCAACCACTAACTATGAGTTAAAGAAAAATGTTTGTGTTATCATTCATATTCTCTGAAAAATGGCCAAGAAATCATAAATTCTGCCAGGGTATGTAAACTTATGAGCACAACTGTATAATATGCCACTTTAAGCTGTCGAACAAGATCAAGAACATCACTTTAAACATTCTTAGAAGCTTTGAATACATGTGTAACACAACTGTAAGCTGTTATTACAACAATGTAAAAATCACAGTTGTCAGTTTTTTACCTGCTGCTGGCCTTCATTTGCATCAAGTTCTTCCCAAGAATTTAGGATGTTGTAAAGCAGGGGTGTCAAACTCACATTATCACAGCAGCATCACGTGATGTATCAGGACTTCTCATCTCCCTTCATTAAACTGGGCGTAGGCATCCAGCCCAAGGGCCAGGAGTTTGACAGTCCTGCTGTAAAGTATCAGTATAGTTTATGTGTAGATCAAGCAGTGTGGTCTTTTGCAGCTGACAGATGGAAATTTTGCTAATACATGCCATCCAAGATTTTTTGGTATATATTTTTGAGATATTCAGAAAAAAATCACAGGTAACTCTGCATCTAATCCTACGGAAGAGTCATAACTGAGGAGAGGCAATAACAACAAATAAGGTTAAAGAATGGTAGAAATAACTGTTAATCACCGTTGCAACCACTGTTGCAACCAGCATTATAGAATGAAACTTCTTTACAGAATATTGAGGAATAATAGGCAATAAAAGGCTTTGTCAAATAGAAAAGCCCCAGGTGCAGATGGCAAACCAGATGAAATATCCGTCAACTGCATAATGCTACAGAAGAAATAAATCTCCTGAAATAAATCAACTAAAATACTCAAAGTTCTATGTTAATAAATGTGGAGCAAGATCTATGATCTGCAGATTGGGAAAGTTATACTAAAGATAAAAGGCGAATTGATAATACTAATTTCTCACAAAAGCAAAGATCTTTGCTTATTTGTTTGATTTATTTGCTGCTCATTTCACTGCAAAGGGACTCTAGATTGCTTAAAATTTTGCATAGAAAAAGAGCATTGTACATTAAGAAATACGGAGCTACTATATTTTTTTGGATAAGACACAAGAGCATGTAAGAATATGGAATATATTAAGGTAATTAAGAAGACCAGATTGCTTGATAATTTGAGAAATATTTACACTGAAAAATAGGCTATTGTAAGAATTGAATTTGGAGAAAGAGTAATTTAGAATAGGAAAGGATATTACAAAAGTATTATATAGTTCCCTTATGCTAAAGAATATGCATGTTGTAAGAAAGTCTTATTGCTAATGCACGCTGGATAACTGAAAAAGCCAAAGAATATAAAAAAGACATCAATATAGAAATTAATTATAGAAATTTGTGTGTGTGTGTGTTTATCACATAAAGCTGTGGAAAGTGGTCAGAAAAATGGGAATCCAAGAGCATCTCACTGTCCTTGTGAAAAACTCATATCAAGAAGTTAAAGTCTTGGTTGCCAAAGGACTGTGACTGCATACACTCTTAGTTTATTCAACTTATACTCTGAATATGAATGAGAATGTGCTGGATTTTAAAACTGAAGTAAGAAATATCAAGTAACTGCTTCTCCTCTTTCCACCTGTCTTCACCTGCAAACGGAGGGCTCGCATTTCCAGAAAGGAACCCGGACGTTGGTTAGAAAAAAAAAACAAAAAACACAGAAGCCACAGGCTCTTTGTTCAAATCGGCTCCCACCCGCTCAAACCCAGACGCCGCTCCTCGCGCCCTACTTCGCATGCGCGCTTCAAAGGAGCCGGTCGGAGCCCGTTCTTTCGGTTCTCGGCCCGGAAGCGGAAGTGCTTGAACGGTAGTCAATAGAAGGAGGGGTAGTAGTACGGTAGCAGTTGGCGGCTGTTTTCCTTTGCTGAGTTGCCTTCCTTGAAGTGAATCCATATAGTGCCATGGCTGCCTCGGGACTGCCCCCGCTGCCTGCGCAATTCAAGACCATTCAACACTTCCTGAGAACCGCGCAGGAGCTCGACAAGCGTGAACCTGTGGTAGCTTACTATTGTAAGTTAGGGGAAAAGGGTTAACAGTCGGCGAAGCCTCCCGTGTCTCCCCCCGCTGCCGTTCTCTATGGGTGTCTTAACGGCCAAAAAAGCCCTAAGTCTGACCTCTCGCCCTTGTCATTACGCGGGCATTATATTTTGGGGAGGGGGGGCAGGGAGCCGTATCTGGGGGCGAGAGATCTTCGGTGCAGTGAGTCCCGTGATTACACACACACACACACACACACACACACACTTTCTCTCTCTCTCTCTCTCTCTCTCTCTCTCTCTCTCCCCCTCTCTCTCTTAGAATAACTTTTTCACTTTGAAGGTACACTAATCGGCATACATTAAAATGAAATTTCATTGCATACCGGTCTCAAAGGGCCACCACCAATATACACTACACATGAACCTGATGAAATAAACGGTACATACATACATACATACATACATGCATAATTATGCATACACCCACTTATATGACACAGAGAAACAACACAGTCTGGTTCGGATGTATACATGTGCATGGCGAGAAAAACGAATTTTGCGATTTGCACCTAAGTGTGAACATCCACCAAAACGATTTGAGTAAAACCTCCCCATTTTTTTGACTCTTGGTAACTTCGGGGAGTCTATGATGAAGTTTACTTTACTTTATTGTCATTGCACCTCATACACTGAAATTAAATACCATCTTCAGTGTACATTATGACTATGAAAATAAACATAAACGCACATCCTTCACATTCTATACACTGAATTGAAAACCTCTGATATTGCATTAATATTTTAATATTAAAGTTGACGGTGCAGAGGATGGTTTTCCATAGGTTTGTTTTTCTGGAAAGTTGAGGCAATGGCCTTGGTTGTGCCCTTGAAGGCTTTTCACCCCAGAGCTGATTAGGTCTGAGTGGTCCTGTTTGGCATCTGAATGCAGACAAGGGCAGGGTTTCACACGCGGATGTGAATGGAGCATTTTGAACTTCCAAAAGCAGGGCATGGATTTAACAGTGTTGCCCAGTAAAAGTTAGTGAATCCAGAATAAATAAGTTGACTGGAAATATAGTCAAATACAAATGATGGGTAAAAAAAATAGAGTGTACTCCTGTGTATATAATACTAACTATGTACTTTTTTTGCTCTGCTGTCCTATTGCTGTTCTTTTTTAATGCTCAGCCATCTTAATACTGTTCTTTAGCACTACTTTCCATTTTTTTTATGTTTGGACTTTGAAAATTAATGCTAAAAGTAGTCCATGTTATTGCAAATATTGCACTATATTTAGAAGTATCCTATTCATTTATTGGCTTAAATAAACATTACCAATGACTAAATATCTATAGTTACTTGGTCCAAAAGTGCAGGGGTGGGATACTACCGGTTCTGCCCGGCTCTATAGAACCGGTAGCTCTGAAGAGCAGCAGACACCAAACCGGTTCTGTGTTTGCTGCTGTTTGGCCCACCCGCCCACCTGGGCTCTTACCTGTCCTTTATTTCCTGCTTTTTTCAATCTCAGTTGCTTTGCGCAGCACAGCTGAGGTTGAAAACGCAAGAAAAGAAGTGGCTTTTCAAATGCTGTGCACCTGCACACAGCACTTTTCAGACGTCCAGGCAGCACAGCTTAAGGTTTTTTACACACGTGCACAGCGCGTGACAGGTACACATGTGCGCGCAAAACTTAGTCACCAAACCAGTAGTAACACCGGTTGAATCCCACCCCTGCAAGAGTGTACTCTCAATCTGCTAAATATAATTCTTATTTATCTTACATTCCCTTGTTTTTTGTCATAAAAAATCTGAGAAGATAGCATGTAAAAGAATAAAGTGAGCTTATTTGGGTTCATTTGCCCTTTGTAGACTACAATAAATTATTATATTTATAATAAAGCAGGGGGCCAACACTAAGTCAATCATTACTGATTTTAAAACTTGAAACTATTACTGGCCTCAATAGATTATCCACACAAAAGTATAAATAGATAGTGGGAAGGAGTCTAGACTTGAGAATTAAGCAGTTACAATGGGATACTATTTGGGTGAAGATCCTCAGGAATACCAGGGCAATAAACTATATTGAGAAGTAAAAACAAATATGAAGAATGCAGTGACAAACACTGTATTGTATCCAGAACCAAATTGATTCTGAGCATTTGTAACTAAACTGTGTTTCTGGACTTTGATAATATGTATGATGAGGACCAAAAAAAGTTACTGATTTGATCTGAAAAAAAGTATTAGAAAAAACTGGATAGTCACCAGTTAGCAGCCCTCACCCACATTATCCAAAATCTTTCCTGAGTTTCCATTGTTGAATAAAATTGCTTGGAAGAAGAGTGAACAGGAAAAGTCATCCTATACTAAAATCCATTTGAATATCCAAATTTAATTATATAATTTAGACTTGTATTTGAAAAGCTATGTTATGCATATTTAGACGGCTGAACATATTTTTGGAAACATTTTTGTTTGTTTGAAAAGCATGTTTGTGTAGCCATCAGAAGTCAAGCTCAGTTCACAAGAGAATTGACTTGTAAATAGATCCTTATGGCATCCAGAATCGAGGGTTATACAATTCCAAACATTTATTTAGATAAATCTATATGATATGTATGTGATGGCAAAGAAGTTAATGATTCAGCCTGAAAAATCAAATTTGTGTCTCTTTTTCATCTTTTTCCATGTGGTCCACTTTAAAAATATTCTTCACTGTCATTTTTCCACTCCAGAGGATTGTTTCCTTCTTGAGTGTGGCATGTTGCTTATATTGTTCTTGAACAGAAAGTTGTCAGCAGAAAGTTTGTTTCCATTTTTGTTAACTAAAGCAGTAGGCAGTTCTTTTTTCTTTTCTAATAGTAAAATGTTTATATACTATTTAAGCAATTATGGTGAATCTGTTAATTTTTTAGAAATAATGTTAGTATCTCAGGGAAATTGTTCTGGTTCGCTGGCAATATGTGCAGACAGCAGAGGAATCGGACAGTGGGGAAGAACGGGGACCAGTCCGGGAGTCTGGGAGGACTTGGACAAGGATCCTGTGTCCGATGCCGAGATGGGGCCAGGACCATCTGGGACTTGTGTGCTGACTCGGAAGCTTCTCGAGTCTGGCAGCAGCGAGGCAGAGGAACAAGGGGAGCCTGTTCCCAGTGTGCGTAGAACTGTTAGGAGGCAAGAGCAGCTAAAACAAAAGGGGCGACTCGGGAGTAAGGCTTGCAGGTGATTGCCCCACCCTGAAGGTTTAAACTAAGGAAGTGCAAAGGTAGAGAAACCTTTGCAGGAAGCAAAGTCATTCTCTCTGTTTGGATTAAACCTTGAAGCTCTGTGTGAACTTTGTATTTCGTTTGGTTTTTTACAGTTAATTTGGCACATTAGTTGTTGGTAACAATTCAAAGGAGATAAAGGTGGGTGCTTATCTTAAGGGACTGTTTGGGACTCATTACGGGCCGGAGTGAACACAATTCCCAGCGTTGAAATAAAACAAGAATTGTTTGGACTAAGTGTGTGCTTAATTACAGTCTCAGGGAGCCTTGGCCAGAACAGAAATGTTTAAACAAATGCTGTTATGCTGTGACTCATTCCTTGATAATCTCTCAATTGGACTATTACAATGCATTCTACATGGGGCTATATTTCAAAAGCATCTAAAAGCATCTTTAGTGGTTAAAAATACAGTGGCACAGGCAGTTAAGGGCACCTTTCATTCAGTCCATATAACAGCTGTACTCCCTAAGCTGCATTAGTTGCCAATATGCTTCCGCACTCAATTCAAGGCGCTGATAGGAGTCTATAAACCCTTCATAGATGGGACTAGATTACTAGTGGGGCCATCTCTCCACAGCTGTAGCTACCTGTTCTGTGAAATCCATCAGGAGAATCATACACTGGCTCTGGTGGGAGAGCCTTTTATGTACCAACACCTGCCTTCTGGAATATTATTGCCCCAGAGATTATCTTTGCCCCAGTTCTGTGGGTTTTCTGTAAGGCTTTAAAAACCTGGGTTGATTGGGGATTTGGTTGTGTGGTAGAGCCCATATCTTGGCTACATTGATGATATTGGTTGACTTTATCTGGATCTTATATTTCTTATGTGTTGTTTTTATTATTTTCAATCTTATTTTTATTTTCTGTTATCTGCTCAGACTCAGTCTTTGAGATGGGGTTATATAAGTTGAATAAATAAATAAAAATGATGTCTCAAGATGGAAAGCTTTCTGACTGAGCCTGTGTAATTTTTGGAATAACAGGTTTTTGGTTTTTGTCTCTTGGATATACTGTTTTACTATACATTCTCTGAACAAATCAAATAGAAGGGATAATACATATAAAGGCAGTATGAAAACAATAACTCTTACAATGTTAAGTTCTGGCCATTTTTCCTGATATTTTAAGCTTTCAAAATTTTGATTACATATATTTTGTAAAATGAAAGAACTGGTACATAAAGTAATCTTTTGCTTTTGAAGAACAGCTTGTTTTTCTGTACTATATAATTTCTAGTATTTATTTTAGAGCTATACACTTCAACAGTTATTCGAGAGATATACTTCATGTCTTGCATCAGTGCAACACTGCTGTTCATTAAAACTTATTATTATTGCAATTATTTTGCATTTGTACAAAATATGAAATATAATTTCTGAATCATTTTACAAGAATACACAGCCCTGATGTATTTTTTAAAACAGTTTCAAATCATTTGACTTCACCTTAACTTTCAACAATAAAAAGATTGAGTCTAGTTTAGAAACTGGAAGTCTCATATCTTTCACCATAAAAGGTTGGTATATTAATGGAGGACATTCAGTTATAGCTGAGAATCTTTGCAGTTAACATGAAAGCTAACAATTCAGTTAACTTCTAAATTGTCACTTTAGTGTCTTCTGGTTTAGAAAACACTTATTGAAGTAATGCATGTCTTCTTGCACTTTAATGTTCTAACTCTGGATAATTAAAACATTCTTTGTACTTACTAGGAAATAAATGTAGGAGTGTGAGGAAATTTATTTTCTACTTTCTGGTTATAATCATTCACACATTTCTGTTTGTTTTATCGGCACATAAGAAACAACTGGTAGAAGAATAAATTAAATAAATGAAAATAAGTGAAAAACCTTGTGTGAGCATCCAATAAAATATAATCAAAGCTTGGGTTTGTGAATTCTCATATTGATTTTTCTTATAATTTAGCCCAAGGCCAATGTGTAATAAAATTTTGCATAGTCAAATGCACACAACTGTTTGGGAGAGGAAATATATAGGACTGGTTTTAAGTGAATTGGCAGTCCAACAGAAGCTAAAGAATCTAAGTATTTCATATGTTGTTTGGATATGTTTATAATTTTTATCTCTTATTTTTAGCGATTGGTTTGTATCTGAGAATTGTATTCTTATCATGCTACAGAATAAAAATGGCTCAGTTAAAGTTTAATTGTAAGTTAAATCTCCCAGCTTTTGCACTAATAGTGGCAAATCGATAATTATTTCAAGAAAAACTGTAGATTGTATTCTGGTTTTTGTATTGAATCCAGTTTATACCAGTGGTTCCCAAGTGGGTGGTACCACCCCTGGGGGCGGTGGGATGCCTTAAGGGGGTGCTAAGAGGCAAAGGGGCTGGCAGGGGGGGCGCTAAGAGGTGGCAGGGGCGCTGGAGGTGGGTGCAGGGCGCAATTCAGGGGTGGGATTCTTCCAGTTCTCTCTCTCTTTCTTTCCCTCTCTCAGGCTTACCCCATTGACTGTTGCACCAGAGCGGTGCAAGGGGTTCAATGGAGTGAGCAGCCCTTCCAAGCCGGCCACCTTGTTGCACAGAACTTGTGCCGTGTGATGCCCAAAGAGGTGCCAGTAATAGGCCAGGCACTTGGCTTTCAGCCGGTCTTCATCCAGGAAGCAGCAGAGGTCATGTAGCTCGCAGTTCTCCATCTGCAGCCACCCAGTGATGGCTTTCAGCTTGCGGATCTCGCACAGGTGCTCCTACAGCTGCCATTTCATGCCCTGGATCAGCCGGCTGCGTTGCACCAGCGCTGCCAGCTTCTTGACCTCCCCCCAGCACAAGCGTGCACCAGCTCCTCCTTGCTGCAGCCGGCCAGGTCCATCTCGCTGGCCAGGGCATCAGATGGCGGAGAAGGCAGCAGTGGAGGAGGCGGCAGAGGAGCCGGTGGGCTGGAAGAACAGCCGACCGGGGGGGTGTCGGCGGAGACACCAGGAACATTGCTTGCTCAGCTCCGGCCAGTGCAAAAGGCGGCAGAAGAAGCAACCGGTTAGCCCACCTATGCAGCAGCATCTTTGCAACGCTGGTTGCCAGGAGGAGCGAGCTGCGGTTTTGTCCCTCTTCCTCCACCACCAAGATTAATGGGATGGGTGCATGGTGGGGCTGGGTGCACTGTGCCTCCACCAACCGGGAGCAGGTGCAGCGAAAGGAGAAGTGTGCCTGCACGTGTAAGGCAGGAGTGAAGGGAGGAGGTGGGGGGAAGGATGCCCTGTCAGTGCAAAGTGAATGGGTGGGTGGGTAGGCGGGCACAGGCGTGTGCACAGGAATAGATGGCGGGGGGTGGGGAAGCAGCACTGGTTTTTTTCCCCAAGCTGGGAAAATTGGGGAGAGGGTGGGTGGATGGGAGGGAAACGGAACAAGCATGTACCCTTTCCCCAGTTGCAATACGGATTAAGGAGTCTCCTGCACTCACCCACTTACTCCGGGGTCTGGGACACCCCCACCCCACCCCTGGCAGCCTTCTGTAGCTTGGCAAAGGGCGTGTGTGCATGGAGGTGGAATTGGGGTTAGGGGGCATGGGTGGGGGGAAAACAGCTTGAACCTTTTCCCCGCCACTCCACTCGAACTTGCTTGGGCAGGTCCCTCCGGTATAGTGGGATCAATTGGGTGGACCTGCAGGGCCAGCACCTAGAACGTGGCAGTGGTGGCACGTGTGAAAAGTAGAGCAAAGGTAATTTTTGCTCCAAAGAATCACAAAACCTGAGTTGTGCACAAGAAGGAACACACATGTCAATGCAATTCAGCAACATAAAATAAAGAAATACAAATAAAACAAATCAACAAGAATCAGCAAAGCATCTCTGATTAGATTCTATTTACTACTAGCATTTAATCAGAGATGCTTTGCCGATTCTAGTCCAATGACCTGCTCCAGCAGGGTTGGAAGGGAGTGTGTGTGTATGTGTGTGTGTCTGTCAAAACTCCAAAACAGGTCAAGTAGCTCTGGGGAGGCCCGTCTTAAATTAGAACACTTGCTAAGCAACCAACCAATAAGTGAGGACCACTTGTATTTGGTTTGCTAGTCACCTGGCCACGCCCACCCAGTCACATGACCACCACAACACACCTACCCGGTCATGTGACCAGCAAACCACGCCCACTCAGTCACATGACCAGTAAGCCATGTCTTCAAATTAGGCCACGCCCACAGAAATTTGAATCCCACCCCTGGGTGGGGGGCACTGAGGTTGAGTTTGTAGCACCAAGCGGATGGTGGACTGAAAAAGTTTGGGAACCACTGGTTTAGACTTTCATTTATCAATGTTATTCCAATATGTTTTCAGTTTCCATTTTTGTCAAGAAAATTGAAATGTCTACACGTAAGTCAATTTTTGAAAGATACTATTTATTCAAATTATCGAAGATTTTCTAAGATTCATTCTGAGACAGCAATATTCACATCAGAACAGATTTTCACACTTAAGTGCTATCAATAATTCATATTACTAAAACAATAGTTTATTATATCCTTAAAAATATAATTATTATTTTAGACTTGATTTGTATATCAATTACAGCTTTCATAGTACTTGTTTTGAGATGTTCTGCAAATGAAGCTGTAGTGAAAGCTGTATTGTATTTGAAAACTTCAAAACGTGAGTCAGGGATAACACATGCTATTATTTTTTGTAATACAGTTCAGGAATCAATTGTGGAAACAAATTGCCGGTGGAATTACCCGTCTAGGTGTGCCCTGAGAAACTATATCTCACCTTCACTGTTGGTCTATATTAATAATTATAATTCAAGAGTTACTGAACTCTGCTTTCAAATTCTTCCATTTTATAGGCTTTATGTTAGATCTTAAATGCAAACAAGTTTCCAATATTAATACATTCTACACATGTTATAATCCAAGCATTGATTAATTGTATCTAGCAGTGTTTTTCACCAATTGTTATGAAATATCTAGCAAGCCTTGGCAACATGGGATAGGAAATAGACTATTACAAAAGAGATACCTAGACTCCACTTTGATTATGCTGGGTATAAGCTGACCTGGAGAATTTCTATAATACTCTTTACAGGCTTTATGGTAGCAACAAAGACTCTTTCAGAAATTCAAGTGGTTCTTAGAGTTTGCCTATGTGACATCATTGGCAGTAGCTTGGGCATTATCAAACCTTAGGGTAATAGAAAATTCCTCTGAAGTCTTCATTGAGTCTTTTTTTCTTTTACAGGTCGTTTGTATGCTATGCAGACAGGCATGAAGATTGATAGTAAAAATCCAGAATGTCGTAAATTCTTATGCAAACTAATGGATCAGCTTGAAGCTGTAAGTTTCTTGTTATGTTACCAGTAATAATAAAAACACGAATTAAGTTTCAGTATATCTGTTCTTAATTAAGTAGCATTTATTTTGAAAAGAACCATTCCCATTTTTTGCTGCTTCGTATGGATGAAATTGACTTGGGTTTGTGATTTGCCGATGAAAACAATTTCCTACAGTATTTGAAAACTTCCCATTCCAGAAAAATATGGTTTGTAAATTGGTCAAATGAATATGTATTATTTATTCATTTTTGTTACATTTAAATATCTATCGATCTCACTGTGGTGATATTGGCTAAACATTTGAAATCATAACATATTCATATACATTCCATTGCATTGAAGGGATAGCTGAATGTATACCATATTATATCTGGAATTGTGTTGTAGCAGTGTTTTTATATGGAATTACCTTAAGAATTATAAAATCAGAGCTGTATTCATTATAAAAGATTTTCATGATCAGTTTTGGAAGTGTGCATATGTGAGTTTGACTAAGTATAAAGTTTTTACCAGTTGCAAGTTCTATGCAAAACATAATAATATAATGAATCAACCAATTTTGTGTTTAGAATTCCTTACGTAATTCTGAATTTGATATTTATGGGATGAATAAGGAAACAGAAGGCCTATTCTCATAAGACAGGCAAGTTAGTAAAATTTTTGGTTCTGGATTTTAACAAGGCATTGACAACATGGATTTAAATATCATTTTTGCAGACTTGAGTCTAACATTTACATTTCTGTGCTCCTTACAACATTCTGCCTGCATGTGGGTTTTGCTATCTACACAGTCCATTCAATGAACATAGTTGATTACAACTTCTGCTGCTTATAGTCCCTTATAGACAAACAGTGTAAAGATTTGCTGATTAAACGGATTCTTCCAAATGTACAGTAATGGTTGTTTATTAGTATCAGTAGACACTCACAGGATACATTTGTAGACTTTAGACCTACCATGTAGTTTTTATGAATAATATTTGGTAACACTGATTCACAGCGACCACAAGGATCAGAATATCATCTTGATGCCATCTCCATACTGTGGATAATGTCTTGTAAAGCAGGTAGTTCATAATGTGCCCTTCCAAAATTAGAATGTCTTAGTGGGTGCACTTGGAAGCCTTTCCTGGTTTTCTGGCACACATGTCCATGCATGGAAGTCACTGGAATTGCTGGCAGTATGCTGCCTTGCTACAGGTCTCTCACAATGGCTGTCAGAATAGGGAGCTAGTGATAGGCTCAGATGAAATTGCACTTGTCCATCGTCTCCTGGCTTACTGATCGAGAGAGTTGGGGGTAAGGAGCTCAGTAACATGAAGTAAACCAAGAAATGCCTGGATTGCCAAAGGCATGAAAGGAAGAGCTGATTTTGAATGATATGTAACATTCAAGCCTATAGTAATAAGAACAGCAAACATCTCATTTCTTATGGAACCTGCAGTTTGTTACCTATTTCTCCTTTTAAACTTAGTCTGTTTTAGAGGAAGGACAGGTTGGTTGAACATTTAAGGTCGTCGTACGAATGTCTCTAACTTCTGGATGATAAATCACTCTGGTCAGTTCAGAGTTTGTCCTTAGCCAGATGAGTCTAGAAGACACATCTGATGTCTTATTTTGCATAATTATCCCAAATGTCCACAGCTTCATTCTATGAGTTCCAAAGAAGTGGATGGGGTTTTCTGCCATTTTAACAAAACTCCTTGTAGTTTGGACTCTTTTCTTTGTACTTGGTGAAAGCCTCCAGGAGTTGACAGAAAGTTGAGTCAACACAATGGTAAATCCATCTAATGTTGTAAGTCTTTCTAAAGAGACATTTGTATGCCCTTCTTAAGAAACTATCATATGAGCCTGAATAGACAATTTTCAAACTGTTTAATAGTGCATTTTCCTGAGAAAGATTGTTGAGAAAATTGTGGGGCTGCAACTTCAACAAGCTCTGGAAGAAATGAATTATATGGATCCATTTCAGACATGACAAGGTATAGAAACAGAGTTAGCATTAATTGTTCTTGTGAATCAACTCTCAGGAGAAGGAGATAGATATATTGTAACCCTCATAGTTCTGCTTGATCTGTCAGTAGATTTCAAACCATCAATCATGGTAACTTCTGGAATGCATATGAGGATTGCAAGGGTTGTCCTTCTTCATGAAAGGATGATTCCAATTGGGAGGGAAAGACTTAGCCCTAAGCTGTTGAAATAGTGTCCATTTACCTGGAGACTATTTAGCTCTGGTTGAAGAGGAACAGGTTAAGATTTAATTGCAGCAAGACAATCTGCATTTGAAAGCTTGATGATTCCAGTGAAATACCATATTTAGTTTGGAACAGGATTGTACTTCTCCGATTACAACTGGTTCATAATTTGGGAATCCTTTTGGACTCATGGTTTCGATTCAGGAATGGATGGTAGCTGTGACCAAGAAGGCTTTTGCATTGCTTTATCCTGTGTACCAGTCGCAATTTTTCCTGGAATGGGAGGCTTTGATTATCTCTCAGTTGGATTGCTACAACTCACATATATGAGCAGTTTTTGAAGTGCCTTTATACAAGCTGCTCCAATATATGGTGGCTCAAATAATGATGGAGCACTTCAAGACATCCATGTATCAATTCTACTTTGGAATCTGTAAAGTGGCTTCTCAGTACAATTCAATGTACTGGTTGTTAATTTTAAGGTTCTTCTTAATTCAAGGCCTGATATGTGCAGGATCACCTCCTGGTGGTATGTGCTCATCCAAATAAGAATGACTAGGATGGTGTTGGCTCTACACATCTCTTTTTAGGATGCCATTTTAGGGTGTAACCTAATGATGCCATGGAAGTCTATTTTAAATGTAAATTCTTAGTTTAATATGGTTTTTAGCTTTAAATTTTGACTGTTTTTACTCCCAAATTATGGGTTTGAGGAGTTGTATGCCACTCATAGTTTATTGGAGTGGCCTATAAGTCCAGTAAATAAATAGACACACCAAGGATTTTCATTATGTGACTTAGAAAATATATCTGATACCCCTCCAGGCTTCTCTGTAGGACTTCATATTTCCTCAACTGCTTTTACATTTCCTCTGAGCCATGATGGCACAGTAGTTAGAATAGAGTATTGAAGGCTAACTCTGCCCACAGCCAGGAGTTTGATCCTGACTGGCTCAAGGTTAAATCAGCCTTCCATCCTTCTAAGGTCAGTAAAGTGAGGTCCCAGATGGTTGGGGCAATATGCTAGCTTGGTAAACTACTTAAAGGATGCTGTAAAGCAATATAAAGCAGTATATATAAGAGCTATTGCTATTTAAGATTGAAAAAGTGGATAGAGGAAGGAAATAACCTTATGAAAAAACATTATTTTTCAGCATGCACACATGTAGCTTTAAAAAAGTTATTTTCAGCATGCCCAAACAGGTTTGCTTCAGCTATACAATTATTTCCCTTGCTCATCCTATATGCATGTTATTCAACCATGTCAATCAGAAAACAAGCCAGTTTGAGATCTTCCGTTTGCTTTAATAACAACAGTATGAGTGAATTGAATTTTGAAACCAAAAGACTTGGAATTTTATTATAATTACTATAATTTATACCTTCTATTTCTAAATCATGGGGAGGGGTAAAATCTACCCTTGCACTGACAAGAACAAAATGTAAACAGTTGCCACCTTATTATCCCTGTTGACATAAGTAAAGTTTGCAATCCAACTTGAGAAGCAGAAATCCTGATTTGTTCCTGTAGTTACAATATGGGACCTAATAAATAACCAGCTGAATTTGTAATTTTTTTTAGATGAAGAAACAGCTTGGCGATAATGAAGCAATTACTCAGGAAATAGTTGGTTGTGCCCATGTGGAGAATTATGCATTGAAAATGTTTCTTTATGCTGATAATGAAGATCGCGCTGGTCAGTTTCACAAGTAGGTAGCAAAGGAAAATACACATTGTGTGTAATAATGAGCTATTGAAGCAATGCAGCCTAAATTTGATCTAAATAAAAAGCCAGTTTGACTAGTGGTTAAGGCAACAGACTAGAAAGCAGGAGACTCTTGAGTACAAATCCCGCCTTCGCCAAGAAAGCCAACTGGGTGACTTTGAACCAGTCACGTTCTTTTAGCCCAGTGTACCTCACAGGTTTATTGTGGTGGGAGAAATAGGAGGAGGAAAGTATATTGGGTATGTTTGCCACCTTGAGTTATTTGAAAATATAAAGGTGGGATACAAATAAATAAATAAATAAATAAAAATTGGTATGTTGCATAAAACTCTGGAAAACTGCTAGAATGAATGGTCATAGAAATAATGTAAGTTGGAAAGGTTCTTAGTTCTGCCCTTGCCTATGAATTTAATGTAAAAAAATGTACTTATCTAATTATTTGTCAAATGTGTATTATTTATTTTTATTCCTATTCTAAAAAAACCTATGTTTTCCAGAAATATGATTAAATCCTTTTATACCGCAAGTCTTCTAATAGATGTCCTGACAGTATTTGGAGAACTAACAGACGAGGTAAGTAAAAGGTGTTAGAGATCATAAAACACGGACAACAGAAACAACATTTTTAACATTGTGATTTAATCATCTTAAATTTGTACTTAACTATCCTGGTTACAAGTGTTACATATTAATTATAAGAAAAGTCATATTTAGTAACCATTTAATTATATTAATTGCAGATGGAGAATTCTAACGCAAGTGCAACAAGTTACTTTGGGCTTTGGAGAAATCTATTTTTCCAGAATCCTCTATGAAGAGGCATTGTCAATGAAATGCGTTATCATTGTTTACAGATTAGAACAAAGCTATGGAATATTACCATATGGCCAATTTCTTAAATGTCTAACCAGAATTAGTATACTCCAAAAGGGGCAATAGAAACCACAGAATAGAACAAAACATGACACGGGAGATTTCCCTGCAAGAAAAGAATGACTCACTGGCAGTGTATGATCCTGTTCCTGCTTCTAATTTTGAATGCACTGACAAATAATTTTATAGTACAATCAAAAAGGAAAACCGGACAGTATAATAGATACATACTTTTTATTATGATTAGTACAGGTAGCGCTCAACCTATGACCACAATTAAAACTGGAATCTTAGTTGTTGAGCCAAAGCAGTCATTAAATGAGACATCATGTGACTGTTTTGCTCAATGAGCATAATCCCATAAACTTTCTTAGGAAATCAGCAGAGAATAATGCAAATGGATTACATATGATCACAAGGCACTTGGCAACCAGTTATAAGTGCAAATAGGTTGCCAAGCACCTAAATCATGATTATGTTTCTGTGGAGCTTGGATGTGTGAGACATTTTGCAATGGCCAGAATTGCTTTACATCTCTCAAATCACCTATTCCATAGTCTTTGTAATTTCAGACTATTGTTAAACAAACCATCATAAGTTGAAGACTACCTATAAATATATCGAGCCATACTCCAAATGCCTTTTTAAACTTTTTTAAAAAAATAAGTAGCACTTTGGCTGGGAAATTCCACTGACATCTATGCAATAGTTACCTATGAAACCATGTGTCCTTTTAAATAAAAGAAATATAATTTTTTACATTAAATTATTTATATAGACTTTATTAGATTTTGGCTTCATTGGATTAGAATTAGATATGCCAGATAGAAGAGGAAGGTAGAAACTATTTAAAATTCTGCATGCCAGCTTGCCTGTCAATTTATTTTGCTTATGTATGCAGGAGGTTTGAATGGATACGCTGAAGTATACATTTAACAAGGTGTTCCAATATTTGCACTTAGCTGTTGGTGATTAAAACTGAAGGAATTGTATAAGATGAAAAGCCATCTCAGAAATTCATGAAGCTAATATAGGCAGATTTCAAAAATAATTCTGGAATGAAAACATACTAAAATGATAGTTAAATGCACATTAAACTCATCTCCCAAAAGCAAGACACATGGATTCCTTGAAACTTATAATAAAGACACAGTTTGTGAGATTGAATAAGTATATTTTCAGTTCACGTATCATATACTTGACAAAAAACAGATAAATTGAATGATTTGTTCAAGTTCATTATATTTCTCTGGTAGAGAAAGGAATTAATTAGAATATATCTTAACTTTTTTTGAAACTATACTATACTGTATACTTGATGTTTTAGAATTATTGTATAGACATGCTAGATTTTTTATTTCATGCCGCTCTTGAGGCAAGACAGATTATTCCTGTTGAGATTCAAAGTTATGACCTTCTCTCCTCAGCAATCACAAATGTTCCAGAGAGTAAATAGCCTAGCATCCGTAAGAACTGGGCTGCATTCCTGTTATTGTGACTGTTTCCTGTTGAAAATTTACTTAGGAAAGTACTACTTTCTGAATAGTAAAAAAGTATAGAAAACAATAAAGCTGTTGGGTCGCTACCTGGTTAAAAAAAACTGAATGAGAGAAAAATAATAGATTCACAACAGTGTTATTGTTGAAGCCTGAAATGATCTGACAGAAATTACAATTATTGAGCCAGAAGGAATTGCATGTTGCTAAGGACTGACTAGAAAATTGTTTTGCTTGAAGGCTTCATCCTATAAAATTCTCAACACTTCTATCATTTATCTTCTTCCCAAATATTTAGTAAAGACGAAAATCCAGCCTGTAGCTAACTCTTTAGTGACACCATCCCAAACATTTTTATTTAAGGAAAAATTGATTTATAAAGCATCTGCTGAGAGAAGTGCTAATAGTTATGACCCTAAAGTAAACTTTTTGTTCTCCCTCTGCAAAAAAAACCCATGTTTTGAAGGCTAAGAGCCTTTCTTAAAGTAATGTCAGAGTTTATGAAGAGTTGTTCATACCAAATGTGAGATAATAGTTTCTATTTTATTAAGTAAGTTTTGGAATTGTTTGTAATAATGCCCATTTTGGAATTTTAGGGTCATAGACTGAATCTGTAGGCCTAGACATTTTGACTACTTATTAATGATATTAAAGTTACTTCATAAATACCTTCCCTAATGGGCCAGATGATACAGTGGATGCTGAGCAAAAAGGAAAGCCGCCCTACTCTCTTACCATTTTTCTATGCAGCAGGAGATAGGAAGCAATAGCTTCCTGTGTCTTTCTTTTCAATTTTGAACTTATGTAATTTAAGACATGAACAAATTTAAATTTAAAATTTTCCATTAACTTTCTAGAACATTCAGCACAGAAAATATGCCCGGTGGAAGGCAGCATATATTCATAACTGTCTAAAAAATGGAGAGACTCCACAATCTGGACCTATTGGAATGGAGGAAGAACTTGGTAACATTACTGTTAATGTTTTGATAAATATAAATAGCATATATTCCTGGCAAATAGATGGGAGAAAAATTGAGGTAGTGACAGATTTTATTTTCCTGGGCTCCAAGTTCACTACAGATGGGGACTACAGCCAAGAAATTAAAAGATGCTTGCTTCCGGGGAGGAAAGCTATGGCAAATCTAGACAGCATACTGAAAAGCAGAGGCATCACCCTGCCAACAAAAGTGCATATAGTCAAGGCTATGGTTTTCCCAGTTGCAATGTATGGCTGTGAAGGAATCATAAGGAAGGCTGAGGGCCAAAGAATTGAGACCTTTGAACCGTGGTGCTGAAGAAGACTCCTGCGAGTCCCTTGGACTGCAAGGTGATCAAACTGGTCAGTCCTAGAGGAGATCAACCCTGACTATTCTTTAGAAGGCCAGATCCTAAAGATGAAACTCAAATACTTTGGCCGCCGAATGAGAAGGAAAGACTCACTGGAGAAGAGCCTAATGCTGGGAACGATTGAGGGCAAAAGAAAAAGGAGATGACTGAGAATGAGGTGGCTGGAGGGAGTCACTGAAGGTGTCAGCATGAGCTTAAATGGACTCCAGGGGATGGTAGAGGACAGGAAGGCCTGGAGGAACGTTGTCCATGGGGTTGCGATGGGTCAGACACAACTTTGCAACTAATAACAACAAAAATAGCATATGAAATATATTTAATGTGATAGAAGTCAGTCTTTTATAATTTTTTCTTATCTTCATTTCTCAATCTATCACACTCATTTTGTCAAGGTATTCCAAAAAGTTGAAATGGTAATTGTCCCTCACACAATTATATTAACATATATTAATCAACCAATTCAGCTTTCTTTTCATACTTTTCAAAATTCAGAAACATTGCTTCTTGGGTGAATATATCTCTGCTTACAACTTTAGGTTAGCATATATAATTTGTCAAAATAATTTTAAAATAAGTTCTTAAACCATGCTCAGCCATTAATAAGTATGTAATAGTCACAAATACATAATATATAAATGAGTATTTTATATGTAACAGTTCAAATTTCCATATTTATTGTATATCTTAAGGGCACTGAAACAGATATGTGAACATTTCTTCAGAATTTATTTTCTCTGGGCACTTTTGAGGTCAGGTTGAAACTTTATTAGTGAATAAGCACTGTTTTGGGGGGAACAAAATGAAATATTGGTAAAAGCATACTTTTTACTTCTCATGGAAGCTGTGGGGGATTTGTTTATGTCTTAAGCATCTGAAATTTAGAAGAGGAAGAAGAAAGAAGGAAGAAAGAAGAATTGAGGAGGATAGCATTTTATGCATCCTTCATTTTTATGCTAATCAGTTTTTCCTCCAGTTAGCCATAACTATGTTTTGCTGGGCGACTGAGCTTGTGGGAGGGAGAGTTGTTTGTTTGCTTGATTCAGCTTGAAAGAAAACTTAACTTTAATAACAAAATGTATTGTGTGTTATGCATTAAATGCATGGTAGTAATTTGAGAAATCACCAGATACAGCAGTGTATATCATAGCTTAAAAAGCAATACTTTAAAATATTTGGTTCATTTCATAATAATAAATAAATAATACAATACATAATAAATATATTCATTGGATAGGATGAATATCTAGCTCATGGTATATTTATTATACTAATTTTATGAGTTAAAAAGAGTACATTGACTTTAAGTAATATAAAATTTCTATTTTATGTGCTAAGTGACCCACAAAGTTTAGGGTATTATCGTGCCAAAGTTCATATGGAAATGTTTGTATTCCAGAATATCTGAAGAACTCATAGTTCTTGCTTTGTGCATTTCAAAAAGAAAAGCAGTATTGTTTAAATGTACTGGAAGACTTCCCCCATTCCTTTCAGCTTGCTCAGTTTTTTCCTTCTCTTGAAACTAAAAAGTACTGAACTAGAATGAGCTAACTTTTAGACATTCCTGTGTTTTCTGACAGTATTATTCTTGAAAATCAGTAAGTCATGTAATATTAGAACCCACTGATATTCATAATTGCCAGTTGATTGGGTAACCCGGTCATGAGAATTATAATGGAGCATCTGCTATGCAGAAAAGATTTCTGAAGTGAATACCATAGGAGTAAAAGGAGAAAGAAACTTTCTTGTGCTGAAATCAGAGCATAGACATTTTCTGTTCAAAACTTAGCATTGTTGAGCCAACAGAACATCTTAGGCTCTTGAACTATATTTTCAGTGAATGTAATTGCATCCATGTCTATTTTTTCAGTAAATTTGTGTGCTATCCATCTCATCAAAGATGACTCTATAAACGTTGCCCTCCCATAGTCAATTTTAGCTGTTAGTTACTGAATATTGATCCTATATGTCCTAGTATTAATTTATCCTAAACATTTGCTTCATTCTTATAGCATAATAAATAACATTGCAATATGTTTTTAGTTACCTTCACAGCACTTATCCAAAATAGCTGTGAAGCTGAAAAGCACTAATCCAAAGATAGTAATGCTATCAGTAGTCCTTGATAAGCAACCACAGTTTTGATCACTTATTAAGCAAAACAGTCATTACATGAAATCACAACTGTTCTTATGATCTTACTTCAACTTTCCCTTGTTTTACAGACCTATAAAGGTGATAAATGCAAAAATTGAGTATAAAGTTACTTATTCATCATTATTGTAACTGCAAATGGTCATTAAATAAAGCAGTTGCTAAACAAAAGCTATTTGTGCATTGAATTTTGGTTTTTAAAAAATCAGTATGTCTCTTTTTTTTTTTTTGCAAGATGATGAAAATGAACAAGCCAGTTCTCCAACACCATCCAGCCAAGAATCAGAACCATCCTCTACCTTTCAGTCAAGTAATATTCCCACAAACAGTTACAGTGGCATACATATCCCACCAGGTGCTCATGCCCCTGCTAACACTCCTGCAGAGGTACCCCATAGCACAGGTGAGTAATCTGTATATTTTTAACACTGCACGTCTGTCATTTCCTAGATTCGTTAACTATGTAATAAGACATTGGAAACTATTTCTTAGAACTTTTGCAGTGAAAGGAAGCTACCCCAAATAGTGCCATAAGATTTATTATAAATCCATGCTGGTTTAAAAAGATAAGGCAAACTATTAAATTGCACTGTATAAATACAAATAAAAAGCTATGTTCAATTATACCAAGAGGGATAATTGTTCTGTTCCCCTACTGAATAACCAAAAGCAAATAAATACCTATGGCAAGGTATGTAACCTACAGTAACCTTGTTTGTGCTCCTCAGTAATTCATATTGAGAGACCACCTACTTCCATTACAGACAGTCCTTGTTTAATTATGCTTATTCAGACTGGAAGCCCCATCAAGTGACTTCCTGAGTTTAAAAAAAACATGTGAATGCATCATTTAGTGGTGGCAGTTCCATTAGTCCCATTTTCTGTTGTTGAATGAAGACCATGAAAGTCGCTAAGCAAGGACTTCATCTGACTACAATTTCTGATGTCCTGCCAATTTCTCCATTGACTTTGTTTATGGAAAACCAGCAGGAAAAGTTGCACATTGTTATCAATTGACTGCAGGGATGATGATGCATCAGCAATAATTACAGTTGTAACTACTACCCATTCAGTGCTATCATAGGTTTGAACACATAGGTTAAACGAGTGGTTGCTTAAACAACCACTTGTATATAACTCTATAACCAACCAAGTAAAAAATACTTTTAGTGTACTATTCAAATACTATTCAATTAAGTTATGTTAACTATATCTGTCTAAATCATAATTTTAGACTTGCCTATTAAGCACTCTGACTATTTTTCACTCGTTTATTCACGGTAAAATTAGGTTGTCCAGGTAAGCAGTGAAAGACACTATATTTAAAAAATGGCTGCTTCCTCTTAAAGTAGTTCCATTATATTTTAGATTATGGCATTAGCTTTACAAAGGAAAAAAACCAAAGTATATAGTTTTAAAAAATCAACATAAGCCATATCAAATAAAGATTCTGATTCTTTCATTCTAGTGCTCTTTCAACATAGTTAAGTAACATGGAAAGGGATTCTGCATTCTTGTGGGAATAAAAATGCCCGACTCACTACAAAATGAGAGAAGAAATGTTCTAGTCACTAGAACATTTCTTCTCTCATTTTGTTCTTAGTAGAATTGACATGCAGTTACCAGGAAGTTCTATTAAACATCAAGTTAGGCACATTTTAGTACTATAGAAACTAAATTGCTGATGGATACGAAACATTAATGCTATATAAGTATTACATTCTTCCCAATTTCTAAATACTTTTTTAAAGTTCTCAAATATTATTCTGAAATCAGATTTCATTCCAGTTAAGGTAAACATATGATATTTCTAACTTTGCACATTTGTTTTTCTCTTTTTATTATTTATAGGAGAAACAAGTAATACAATTCAACCCACACCTCAGAATGTTCCCCTGGTTGATCCTTCACTTTATAATGTCCAACCTGCAGGTAAGCTTTGTTTTCCTGCTACAGTTTGCATCATTGAAAAGAATTGCCTACAGCACACCTGTACTTATAAACACAAGCATAAATTTGTTTCAAAATAATTCTTGCTGAATTCCATGGAGGTACTCCAAGAAAAAAGTACCTATGTTTAAAATCATAGATTCAAGAATATTTTAGAACACTCAAGACTCAAAACATTTCAAATCAGAAATTCATCAGGTTCAAAGCCATCATTTTGCATTTGAAATATTAGGTTTATTTTTTAAAAATGGACTATTTCAATGATACTATAGGTGTTTTGAGTTCAAAATAACTTTTTTTCCACATTCCCAGCATTCTGTTTCAAGCAGAAAACACTACCAAAATAATTGAAACAGCCCAGTCTGAACATAAGTGTTTTGGTGCAAAATGGAACCTAATACTGACCATAAAAAAACAACAACACTGTTGGCACTATTTAAAAGTGTTGTCCTGTATTTCATATAATGTTATTCCTGTAACATTATATAATATATTATATAATATATAATAACATTATATGAAACTCAGTGCAGAAGCAATAATTTCAAAGTAAAGGGGAAAATATAGAAATTGGGTATATTTAGTAGAGGATCTTAATTGATCATGTGATTCCATAATTCCTGGAAATGGAATATATTGTCAGCCATCTTGAGTGCCCTCTGATGGAAAGTCAGGAATATAGATTGAATTCATAATCATAATTGGTATGAAAATGTGTAGCAGATTTAATGTAGACTGTATTGTGGTCTCAAATTTCATATATTTATTCTTATAATTATAAATCACCCTAGGACCTCATCATCTAGGCCAAAGAATGATAATCTAGGATTCCAAATGGGTGATTACCAATTTTTCATCATTACCTACTAGCACTACAGTTCAGAAAGACCTGGCTGTAGTATATTTGAGTGGACAAGGAGCAGTAATTCCTTCTTTGTAAATTATGTTAACTTTTTGTATTTTGAGAAAGATTTTACATTTGTTAGTTTTGCATTTAGCAAGGACAGTGGTTCTTTTAAAAAAAAAAGTCCATAAGATTTACCAATCTCAGGCAACATATTCAAATCAAGCACAGTATATTTACTGGAAATTGATACATAAGTAGATGCTTTTCACACAGAATTTTACATAAAATTTCAAATAAATTTCACATAGAACTTCAAAGACACTTCAAGTTTATGGCTATGAAGACAATTTTATTTAATGTTAAATGATTTAATATTAATTATAAAATGTACTTGATAAAAGCTTGACAAAAATGAATATAAATATTATCTTTCTATTTGCAAAATGTCTCACTTCTGGTAGGCAGTATGGCTGTGTGAATTTTTTTTGGCGCTTCAGAATTTTAGTTCTGTCTAGTGATGTGATTAAAAATATCTAAAATTAAAACTAAAATTTTGCCTGATACACATTAATAATTGAAGTAGGCCTCAATAATAATAAATAAGGTTTTTTGCCAACAGAGCATGTAATAGAGTAGATACTGTAAAAATAAGATTAGAGTGGTTAATTTAGGCTTTGTTCCAGAAAATCAGTTGAATACTGGACTGATGCCTTGGCTGTTTTCTAAAAGAATGATTTTCAAGTTTCTTTTGGCATCATAATATGAGAAAACAAAATGTCCTTGAGACAGTCTTTGAGGTAATGTGTTCACGCTGTGTTTTTCAAAGAGAGGGAGGCCACCATTGACCAAACCTTAAAAGTTAATTGTGGATTTATACATTTATCAGACCATGGATGTTAGGTTACAAATTGAAATTTTAAGTGACTATATTTTGTGACATGGCGTTTGAAGAAATTGCTGATCTATGCAAATACACATTGACTCCTGTTGAAATAAATCCATTTGAAGTTTAGGTGTTTTATAAAACATGCAGAATGAACTCATAAATAATAAGATGCTTGTTGCAAGAGGGTTTTTTTTTAATTCTAAGTAGGTCTCCACTGATTAAAATCAGATTTAGTCTATTGATTAACAATATTTGAAAAAATATATTGAACTAGATTAAAAATTTCTCCACTTCAAAAAAGACAAATTTGTACCAAAAAAAGCAGCCTATCCTCTGTGTGAAAACTTTTTTTTAATTTGCTAAAGCAAACCATCTAATCTTTAAAAGAAGAAAGAAAAAATAATTTTATTTTATAAATTTGAGTTATGAATGAAAGAAACCAATAATTACATAAAGATAAAACTTTTTTTTTAATCAGTGTTAGGTTATAGTAGATATAATTTCACATATAAATGTGATAACATCGCATTGATAATTATAAAGTGAGAAAAAGATTAGGTATAAATGCATATATAAATATGTATAAAATTCTACTGTATATATTACTAAATTCTTGCCTCTGTGTTGTGGCTCCTAAAGTTTTGTTAAAATGGAAATAAGGGCATACTGATTCAGAGCTGTTTGCAGTGTCAGTCCATCAACAGAAAATACTGTAATATTCTTTCTTATAGAGAGTTATGAAAACTCAGATTTTAAAAAGCTGGAACTTCTGACATAGGACACTAGATTTCTGTGTTTATAATGTACTTTTACATGATATGGCTCATTCCTTTGAAATGTAACAAAACAAACAAAACTTTATTTGAAACAATGCATAAATTCAGTATGCTCAGGCTTTGTTAAATGCAGATTGATCAGTATAAATGGTAAGCATATATCTGTTTAGCCACAATGTTCAAAATGATCAAAACAGATCATACAAATAAGTCAATATTAGCTGTATAGTAGCTAGCGTTTGTTTGCTTTTGTTGCTAATAAGATTGTTACAGAAAGTGCATTATTCACTAATATTATACAGACAGTACTTTCCATTGAATTGCCGTGTAAAAAAGACTTAATGCAGACTTTGTATCATTTGTTTTGACTTCTATAGTATAAGAATGTATTAAATTTGAAATAAGGCTTAACAACTACAGGTGAAACTCAAAAAATTAGAATATCGTGCAAAAGTTCATTTATTTTAGTAATGCAACTTAAAAGGTGAACCTAAAATATGAGATAGACTCATTACATGCAAAGCAAGATAGTTCAAGCCATGATGTGTCATAATTGAGATGATTATGGCTTACAGCTTATGAAAACCCCAAATCCACAATCTCAGAATATTGTGAAAAAGTTCAATATTCTAGGCTCAAAGCGTCCCACTCTAATCAGCTAATTAAGACATGACACCTGCAAAGGGTTCCTGAGACTTTAAACGGCCTCTCAGTCAGATTCAGTAGGAATCACAATCATGGGAAAGACTACTGACCTCACAGTTGTGCAGAAAACCATCATTGACACCTTCCATGAGGAGGGAAAGCCTCAAAAGGTAATTGCAAAAGAAGTTGGATGTTCCCAAAGTGCTGTATCAAAGCACATTAAAAGAAAGTTATGTGGAAGGGAAAAGTGTGGAAGAAAAAGGTGCACAAGCAGCAGAGATGATTGCAGTCTGGAGAGGATTGTCAGGAAAAAGCCATTCAAAAGTGTTGGGGACTTTCACAAGGAGCGGACTGAGGCTGGAGTCAGGGCATTAAGAGCCACCACACACAGATGGATCCTGGACATGGGCTTCAAATGTCGTATTCCTCTTGTCAAGCCGCTCCTGAACAACAAACAACATCAGAAGCATCTTACCTGGGCTAAAGAAAAACAGAAGTGGTCTGTTGCTCAGTGGTCCAAAGTCCTCTTTTTTGATGAGAGCAACTTTTGCATCTCATTTGCAAACCAAGGATCCAGAGTCTGGAGAAAGAATAGAAAGGCACACACTGCAAGATGCTTGAAGTCCAGTGTGAAGTTTCCACAGTCTGTGTTGATTTGGAGAGCCATGTCATCTGCTGGTGTTGGTCCACTGTGCTTCATTAAGTTCAGGGTCAACACAGTCTACCTGGATATTTTGGAGCACTTCATGCTTCCTTCCACAGATGAGCTTTCTGGGGATGCTGACTTCATGTTCCAGCAGGACTTGGCACCTGCCCAAACTGCCAAAAGCACCAAAACCTGGTTCAATGACCGTGGGATTACTGTGCTTGATTGGCCAGCAAACTCGCCTGACCTGAACCCCATAGAGAATCTATGGGGCATTGCCAAGAGAAAGATGAGAGACATGAGACCACACAATGCAGAAGAGCTGAAGGCCACTATTGAAGCATCCTGGTCTTCCGTAGCACCTCAGCAGTGCCACAGGCTGATAGCTTCCATGCCACGCCGCATTGAGGCAGTAATTGCTGCAAAAAGGGCCTAAACCAAGTACTGACTACAAATGCATGCTTATACTTTTCAGAGGTCCGATATTGTTCTATGTACAATCCTTGATTTATTGATTGCATGTAATATTCTAATTTTCTGAGTTTGGATTTGGGTTTTTCATGAGCTGTAAGCCATAAAGCATCACAATTATGACAAATCACGGCTTGAACTATCTTGCTTTGCATGTAATGAGTCTATCTCATAAATTAATTTCACCTTTTAAGTTGCATTACTGAAATAAATGAACTTTTGCACGATATTCTAATTTTTCGAGTTTCACCTGTATACTGCTGTGTAGTTTTATTGGAAAGGAGGATGTTTTTCATTCTTATACTTTAGGCAAAATGCAGGTCAGAAAAAAGTTAGACTGTTTTTAAATTCCTAGTGCCTTGGTATCTTGTGTATGTTTGGTCCTTTCTTTCACCTGATAGGAAAAATAAAATGTCACAATGCTCAATTCTTCCACTAGGGAATGGATGTTATTTCGTAACAAGATGATCCCATATCTCAACAAATTATACAGAGGCAGAATCAATGAATGGCCTCAATTGCGCCCCAGACCTGAGGGAGAAAAGGGAGAATCTAAGGTTAACACACTGGATATTGTCCTTGTTTTTGTGCAGATTGTAACATGATTACTGAAGCTTCTAAAGACTTTCGATAAAGAGCAAATCTCTCTCAAAGTATTGGGTTACACTCTAAGCTTCAAACAGCTTTTCTGTTCATTGATCTTAGCAAACCATTTCAGGTGGTTAAATAAATATGTGTGTATGTCATGTTTGGAAGCTGAGTCTTAGTCGTCTGTCTCTGTTTTCATAGGGGAAATTCGTTTGACTCCCGAAGATTTTTCCAGGGCTCAGAAATACTGCAAATTTGCTGGCAGTGCTTTGCAGTATGAAGATGTGAACACTGCTGTGCAGAATCTACAGAAAGCCCTCAAGTTACTGACGACAGGCAGAGAATGATGCCTTTGTCTGCTGGCTTCATCACTTGTACCTAAAAAAACTTAACAGGCAGTTACTCTTAACTCTTGTCAGGAAAATGCATTTGCACAAAAGCTTTTGATTTCTGTGATAAGAATACAGCCTCTGTGTCTGTCTCATTCTTTCTGACAGAGGAATAAGAACTATCTGGGGACAGAGGTTTACATTCAGCACACCAATTGTGGCACTCCTCGCCCAAAACTATAAAATACCCCCCATGGCTGTGCTGTCCTTTTTACAAGATTGGGTAGGGAGGGAAATACTTCTTGATGGCATACATTTTTGTTTGGAATTTGTTATAAGAGAAGATTGTTTGAAATGCAACATGTCTCTAATTGAAATGTCCAGACCATTTGGGTGAAGGGATGCTATATAGTAAAACCAATGCAGCAAATAAGGCAGAAGTGTTTTTTTGAGAAACTTTTAAATTAAGTTAGAAAGGTATAGTTAGCTTTACTGATATTGCTGGAAAGCCATTGTAATGTTTCCTGGTTCCAATACTCATTAAAGCAATATAATTTTGTGTGTGTATGTGTGTGTTGTTTTTTTCATTGTGTAGCTCATTTCAGTTTTGAGGATAAAGGAAATATACATCTGAAATGTAAAGCCTAGCTCTAGATATCTTGAACTTTGAAAGCACCCATAATTAATTCTAACACTAAGAAAATAACCAAAATTAGAAATATCTGGAATTTAATATTTATTGCCATCATTTTAAAAAATGAAAATGTTCAACTCCTGCTGTACTATAGACTATTAAAATATTGTGGAACCTTTAACTATGTGTTTGAATTATTAATATAAAAATGCATAAATGTTTTAACAAATAAAACTATTTTAGTATTAAATATGTTGTTTTTGTTAGTAAATTTAGTTCAATTTGATACTTTGTACAAAATATGATATGCCTCCCTTTTTGCCTCAGCTTTTCTTTTTTAAATGATAATTTAGTTCTGCCTTACAGTGTGCACCACCAACTCAATTGGGTGGAGGTGGAAGAAACTTTAAATGTCAAAAAGATTTGTTCTATTAATAACAACTAACAAAAGTTGTTCAGTATTAAGATAAAGGTATAGTCTTTCAGATATCAATATTTATTTTAGGACTCAAATTTATAAAATTGAAAAACGGTGATTTCCCTTTGAATTTTGCAGAACTTTTAACCTCTCTTGATTTGACTCAGCTCAAATTCAATTTTTATTTCAAAGTTTGAATCACTACTTTCCTAACTTTTCCTATATAAATTAATGGAATGAGGAACACATTCTGATGTTTTGAGTTCAGAATAAAACTTATATTTGAGCAATGTGATCCAAATCCAAAAGTTAGGTATATACTAAGCTTAAAACTTTGCCATTTCTGGCATTCCAGGTGCTACATTTGACCCCCAAAAAAATTCTTCACTGAAATCTTTTGTTCAGTAAACAGTGTGCTCCTGTTGAATTTTCTTACTACATGCAAATACTGTGATCTTTTCCTTTGTTATCAAACTGCTTAGTACAGAAGTACTCACTATGTGCATGGACATTAAAAAGAAAAGCCCATGTATAAGCAATAAAATTATATCTTTTGGTTTTATGTTACTATATTGTTCAAGGGCTACATTAAAATAACTATATGTGTTTCTCTGCTAGGCTTCTACGAATGCTTGCTTTTCAGAGATTTTTTTAAAAAGCATTCTTTAACATTAATGCTTCTGTTATTTGCAATAGAATTCAAAATTATTGGAAATCAGTAGCAGGATATTTCAAATCTGCTGCTCCTAGGTCATTTAGTTACACACTTTAAAATAATGTGAATGCAGGCTTGAGGATTTATGTCCATTCATTGATCTTCATGATTTCAGCATAACTTTTTATATCACTTTAAAATCCTAGTGGATTCCATATGTAAGTCGTGTTTTTTAAACCTCTGAACATGATGAACTTTGGAAAGGGGCTTGGTTCCCCTACGTTAGTCTGCTTGTATTCAGGTACTTCAATGAAACATTCCAGTTCTACTGAGGCTAGTTGTATCATAAGCACCATGCACAAGCAGGATGCACAATTGTATGTGAATAGAAATAGGCAAATAGTGAGTTGCCCTCCAGTATTTGTGCAGTTTCATTCCCCCCCACCCCCCAAACCCAGGAAACATTTCAAAGCAGCTTTAGAAGCAGAGAGCTATGTATAAAGAAAGTCAATGACTCTCCTTATGGAAGCTGGACAATTTTCTATTCATTCAGCAAGATTTTCAGCATCTGTTGCCTAATTAATCTTTAAGACATTCATTTCATAAAATAGCACATATCCCTTCAAGCTGTGTTATTGATTGTGTTACAGTGTGACTATAGCAAAAATGAATGTTTCTAAGGCTTGCCTTACACTTTTTCTTACTTGCTTTGCTTGGACAGCATAAGCAGCTTTCAGGAAGAAGTATGCATGAAATAAATTTTGTTTTGAACTGGTTCAAGATGAAAAATTTAAAACCTAAATAGGATACTATGGAAATATAGCTGTGCTGTCATTGTTGAAAAATCTGGTTGGTTTAGAACCTGCTATTAAAATGATCCCACACCCGCTTTTCAACAGAGGAAACCCATTTTTATCAGTTTTTTCAAATAAACACTGGTTTGTCAGCCAACAGATTAGCTGTTCTCCCCCCCCCCCCAGTCCTTTTATCGCTTACTTCAATTAGATTATGTTTCCTTATTAAAATAATAGGATTTTTGAGCCAATTTTCCTTCAGAGACACTTATACAATAAAGGTGTGTAGAGGGGAGCAACAGGCTTTTAAAATTATAACCCAACTGATTCCCCCAGCAGGAATAAACAAAATGAAGGGAGTTAGGACAAGTTAGGAGGCAGGAGGAATTTTGGGGTTTTGAGATAGTTGTCTTGAATTCTTGAGGAAGAAAGACCTCAGGCAAGGATAGAAATTGAGTTGCTTGGCTGTAACTAGAATTGTGTTAAGGTTTTCATGTTTCACCTCTTCAACTATATGTTGGGTGTGTAGAACCTTATCTTCTTTTGGCAGCTTTCATAAAGTTGATTTTTGTTTAAATCTTGGAGTTGACCGGTGGCCTTTTAAGACCCGCCTTAGCTTGGCTGAGTTGCAGACTTCCAAAAGTTTTGTTTAGTTTCACTTCCTGTAGTTCAGCCCAAACCTTGGGGCAGGAAGAGAATTTCCCCTTCAACCCTTTCCTGGTTCCTCAGAGGGTTCGGGCAAAAGGAAGAAACTGGTTCATAATGAAGAGATGGTGGTTGCAACAAAGGGCCTAATTTTTTATTCACTATTCAACCCTAGGCTCTGGTCACCTCAGAGAAGGGATTTTTCCATCATGGGGCTTATCCTTACTACAGTGTATCATATTTAGGCAGTGGGGAGAGAGATAGGGGCTGCCAGTTTGCAAAAAATAAAAATGCCAATGTTGCTTCATTAGATAAC